GGCCGCCCCGCGGCCTTACAGGGACGCACGGGCGCGGGAAGGAAGAGCCGTTTCGGTGAATCACGACAGCGTCTCACACAGCCGGTATCGGGTGGAAAAAGCTTCTGTGGATCCCAGTGGGAATTCAGAGTCAAGAGTTTGTAGGGCGATTTGGTGGGAATCGCGGGCCTGCAGCTGCCGCGTCTCTCATGATTCCACCTTCAAGTTCTTTGGCTGGGCAGCACAGCACGCTCCCCAGAGAACTTACTTGGGGGAAACCCTGAGAACAGTCCTCAAACGTGCATGAGAATTTCTCTAATGATGCATTTACTCAGAGAAGAGATTGGCCTTTGGCAGCTGGGGGAGAGCCTAGATCTGAACCTTGGTGCATTTCTAAGAATGTGAGCGTTCGTATTGACCATGCTCTTCCCTTCTGTCTTTAAGCCTGGGACTTTTCCCTTGCAGTTTGAAATCTGCGGATGGACCTTTTTTGCCACATGCCTGTTTGGAGAAAAAGCTCGTTGTTATTCTTTCTCTTTGCATCTGTAGATATTTCACGTAAAACGTACACTTTTTGACTGACAAAGGGGGGAGGTTGCAAGCAAACTTGTTGCCCATATAAAGTGGCAACTGTAATGCTCAGTTTAACTTATTTTATCAATACAATGATAACAATTTTTCAAATACTGCAGTGTTTCTTTTTTTCAGGCATGTCATTGCTCAGAGGGGAATTGCAGTCATAGATTGCTCATGGGCCAAATTAGAAGAAACTCCCTTTACGAGGATGAGAGGAGGTCATCTGCGGCTGCTGCCATACTTGGTAGCTGCAAATCCTGTGAACTACGGTCGGCCGTGCAAGCTGTCCTGCGTGGAAGCTTTCGCTGCAGCTTTCTGCATTGCTGGTAGGCTGTAATGTGTCTGACAAACTTAATAGCTCAGACGGTCTGCGACAGAACAAACCGTGATGCTGTCCTGCTGGTCAACACTCTGTTGAGCGTGGAATCAGCTTGTCTAGCTTCCTTCCGAGCACTTGTCCCTGGTAGCATCGAGGTATCTCAAAGTGGGGGGTTCATATCGGCTGCTAAACAGGACACACAAAGTAATGACCCCAACCAGGGGTGGCAGGGTGGCACTTAACATCAGAAAAAACATTTGAAAAGCCAGAGAAGACAGAGCGTGGCTCCCTAGGCACCTTAATGCGAGGTGACAGCTGACTGCTCGTGGGGTGGGTTCTGGTTTGGAACAAAAGAAGTTGCCCCTCTTGTGATGACTTGCAGACTCACCACGGAACTCTTTTGACAATTGGAGAGACGTGCTCTGCCACGCTGCAGGCCGGTCTCACCCCCCGAAGCAGTCGCGCCCTTACTGAAGGGCTGTGGGAGCTACAGCTCGGGTCGCTCGTTACCCGTACAATACATTTCATGTAACACTTGCTAGGAGACCATGAACTTCTCTTGGGTTCAGGGAGCTATTTCCAGTTACACTGAAATTTGAAAAGATTTTCTATCTTTCTAGAAGTCTGAATCCCTGAACACAGAAAAGACGCGGGCAAATGTCTCGCTGTTGTAGTGAGATCCTGAGCTTAGAAACCTGTAAGCTGAGTGAAATCTCACGCTGAAAAAGAAAAACTGAACATTTATTTTCTGTTCTAGGATTCCCAGACCTAGCCACCGTTCTTCTACGGAAATTTAAATGGGGTAAGGCATTTATTGACTTGAACAAAAATCTCTTGGAAAAATACGCAGCCTGCCATTGCCAGGAAGAAGTGCTGAGAGTTGAAAAGGACTTTTTAGCCAGTGTCCAAGAAACAAAAGATGAAGAAATAGGTAAGGAAAAGCACAGACATACCATGCACCTCCTTCTCCTGACTAGTTTCCATACAATCTTTTCCTTTAAACCCATGAAAATATTAGCAAGGTAGAAGAGCTTTGCTGAGATGTGTTCCGTGTTTATACCGTGTATTCCTCTTACAAGCAAGTTCGCCTTTTTTTTTCAACTCAAAAAGATGAAAAAGACTAAAGCCCTAGAGTAGCGTATTCACGGCTGAGCTGTGGGGCAACTACCCTGATTAAATTAAGGATATTGGAGAACTAAGGAGTAAAAAGAAAATCCGATGCTTCCTCATTTTATCTACAGATGCTAAAAGCAGAGCGTAGGTAATTCAGGACTGGAAGAGAAATACAGGCATGGAGTCTGACAGCAAGTTAGTTACACATGGACCTAGGACAGACTGTTAATGGCCAGGCTGATATAGCCCTAACCAAGATGTTTAAAATCAGGCCTATAAAGATCATGAAAATAGCTTACAATAAGCACAGTCATGTATTCCCAAATTCTTCCAGTAACTTAGTGGTATCCCGGTATTTCAGGCTCCATTCACAGGTGAGTGCTTGGTCTCATTCAAAAACAGTGCAGAAAAAGCCAAATGAAATGATAAAGAACATATGAAGAGATGCTTCCGATTAATGTTCTCCTTTCACAGCGGTTACGTCCCACAGAAATGGGTGAGGGGATCACGCTGCAAGCAGCCGGCAGCCGGCCTCCAGCATCTCTGGACTTTGCTGTAATGTGCTAGGCCAAACGAAATCCTGTTTGATGGAAGCCTAAATACTCTTACGTTAAACTGGACAGTTCCTAAGGGGCAATAATACGGCACCAGCTAAAGCACACTTCCACCTGCCGTCCTGTGTGTTTTCTGGCCGGACTGCAGTACCAAAGCTGTGATGCCGCCTTTGGCTTTGCTGAGCTCGTGGTTCTCCCCGGCTGCGTAAGCCAAAGTAAATCTGGCCCTGCCCTTACTCAGCAAGAGCAACGCCTGGATGGCTGCACTTCAACTCTCAGTAGACATGAGCTCACTAGATGGCCCTTCTAGAACTAAGCCATTCTGAGCGCATCCATGTTTTCTTACCAAAAGCCTTAGAAACCCATGTGTGCAGCCCGCGTTCCCCTGCTGAGCCCCCTGGGGGGTGGGCACCACAGGGCATGGGGCTGTGGAATGGGGGGCACGACGTGGCAGTTGTTTCTCACCTGCCCCTGGCTTCTGACCAAACAACTGTGGTAAACTTCCCAGAAAGCTGCACCCGACCTGCTATGCCTCCCCTCCCTGCCAGTCAGCCTCTCTGAAAATGAGAAGGTAAGAGCGTTAAAATTCGCCTGCTTCATCAATGGGTGCTTTTTTTCCTTCTTTTTCCAGATCCATTTGATGTTGACTCAGGAAAAGAATTTTCTAATCCCAACAGACCAATCCATTCCCCAGGGTAATGAAATTTAATTTAAACACTGTTTATCTTACTATAAGTTGTTTTGCTTTTATAATCCTGAAAAATGTCTCCAGGCTAGCACAAAGTAACGAAGAATCTGAATCTGAGGAGGACAGCGCGAGCACGCCAGATGAGGCCACTGAAAGCAGCAGTGAGAGCAGTCCAGAAGAAGATGGTACTGCAGAGCAACAGCCACCGATACAGCAACTATATGAAAAGTAAAAAAAAACCAAACCAAAACCAACCCCAAAAACATTAAAAAAACAAATCAAAAAACCCAACAATCCCGAAGAGTCGTGTTAAGAATCTTGTCTTAAGAGATTTTCCTGTGCACCATTAACAGTGTGGCTTGGTCAGCTGGAACCTGGTGCTTAGCAAATGCCTGCCTGTAGGCGAGCCTCAGGCTCTCTGGGGCTTGCTAGGGCTATTTATGCACATAAAGGCATTGGGCTATTTAATTTTTAGGTAATTGTTTATGTAATGCTAATTATTATGTGAAGAGCCTGAAGCTCAGTTAAGAGTGAAAAACTGTCTTCTAAGCAGCGTGTCGGGAGAGCGGTTTCTAGGGATTATTTTTACCTAGCAGCACATTAAATAAACCCTCCTGACTTCTGGCCTGTACCTCAGCCAGGAAATGCGGTGGTCGTTGCCCTGCTCAGAGTATGCTGAGGAGCCGCTGACTTTTTGCAGGCTTGAACCTGCCGTGCGTATTTTAACAGCTTCATCCAGTTTGGGGCAAACCAACACCCAAGCTCAAAAGGGAAAAATGCTTCCTGGAACTGTTTTAACATCCCACTATGTCTCTGCAGTAACTTTATGTGTTTTTTGGTTTTTTTTATTTACTCCGCTGGCCAGTCTTAAGCAATGTACGAGGTTTTCGCACTCTGTATCCAGAGTCGTACCACAGACACTCAGGTAACGGGTTCAGCAATGCTGCCTGCCTGCAGGCGCATCACCTGAAGTCCGCTCTACCAAGTTAGAATCACAGATGGTCTGGCCCCTAAGGATTTGAGTCAGAGGCTCACAGCAGCACCAGCATCTTGGCTCGTTCCTCCATGTGCCTGCCAGCACGTCCAGTAGCAGTTGTTTTCTAC